AACTTAATTTTAAAATTAAATTATTTTAAAAACCTTTTTAAAAACTTAAAATCTTTGTTAATAAAGTTGATAAAATAATAAAAAATATATTAAACTTTATTTTTTATATAATAATGATATTACTAAAATTAATATTTAACATTTTATAAAGAAATTAATACTTTTTTATAATTTTGCAGGCAAATTTGCCTGCTATACAGTTTAAGGAATAGCTATTTAAATCTTTTTAATTTGATTACATAGTGGCTAAACTGTGATTTAGAGAATATATTTGAAATGCTAATATATATCTTTTATATTAATATATGGGAGCTTACTAGAAAAATAGGATTCTGAGTATTTTTGATTAAAATTTTAATTTTTATTGCATTTTAATTAAAGATGTCTCCTTAAACTATTTTAAAAAATTTGAGTTTGATATTTGAGATAAAAACTATTTGTTTATAATAATTATCTTTACCTAAACTTCAAATAGGTTTTCCTAAATTTAGTTAAGTTTCATTAGGTTTTAGATTTAAAAAAAAAGTCATTTTAAAGGTTTTGAAATAGTTTTAAAATTTTTAAGCTACATATTAAAATAGGTTTTGAACAGCTTCATTAATTTTAATCTAATATTATTAAAAATTAAAATGCAATAAAAAATGTTTAAAATACCATTTTTTTTAGCAAACCTTCTATATTATTATATTTGAAGAATAATTTTATTTTTAAAAAGAGTTTATTTATAATTATAATTAAGATATTACTACATTTATTTAATATACTTTTACTTATTTTTAAATTTCTAATAGATAAATTAGCCTACAAATTTTTTAAAAAAATAAGAATTATAAAATATTAATTTAAGCAATATTAAACAAAATATAGTTTTATATATTTTTTATAAATTTTATTAGTAGGTTTATAATGTTTATTAAGAAGGTTTTATAATAAAAAATTTATTTAAAAATTATAAAATTTTTATATCTGATAAGATTTAATTTAACTTATATTTGATTAACTTGATTATTAATTATATAATAAAATAATTGACAAATTTGACAACTTTATATTTTGCATGAAACATAAGCCGGTGACATTTTACTTAACCTAACTAACCTCCCTAATAATAGATTGTCACATGGATAGTGTTCATACAAGGTTTTTCTTATAATTTTCAGATCGACAAATTGAAGTTCGAAGGTCTAGATGGGTTAATTTGAGAGATTATGCATAAATACGCTTTATGAACTTCTAAAAAGGACGAACATCAACAATATGATGATTGTCACGATTAAATGACCTGCAGGAACAACCTGTTTATAAGAAGTTGATGTTTCTTTTAGGTAATTTATCATTCCAATAAAGCGAAAAAACCAAGATCCTATGATCAGCATTTGATTGTTTTGTTTACTTGTTTATCTGAGCTATTTAGCAATTTCCTTCCATATTGGTTTCTTTTTTTTTCATTTTCATTTTCATTTTTTTTTTACATGAAATTTATATTGTTTGATTGTTTCATATTGTTTTATTTTTTTTTTTGCATTTCATACTTTTATAACATTTGGATTCTGCACCATACTTTGTATGATTTGAATGATCTGTCTCGTAAAAATTTTAAAATTTGAAGATGTCAGAATCCTTTATCTTTAAAAAATTCTCTATGTACAAAATAAGAGATAGTCGTTTTCGTAATCATCAAAACATAATCACGTAAAAGAAAATCGGACATATATTACAAATATTTATGGTGTACCTCTCACGTATCGACATACAAAAAAGGAATAAAACCTTTCTTAAATAGTAATTTAATGAATGAGATTATATTACATAAATGGGGGATGGATATGTCACATTTTGACCAACGTTTTTCCTGGTCTAGAACATCAAACATGGGTAGCGATTTTCGAATTTCAAATGTCGTGTTACCATACCGATCAGGTTTACAATAATGATGATAAATAATAAAAAAAAATTCTTTCGTCCGATATTTTTGGTATTTTTGGTATTTTTTTTTTTTTTTTTTTTTGGTCCATCAATGAATCCGAATCTTACATTAAATGGTACAATTTATTAAAAACTTAATCAAAATCCTCAAAACAAATTTAAATTTATAGATGTCTTTTTTCCCTTTCTCATAAAGAGGGAAAAAAGGACATCAATTAATGTACATTATATATATATATATAATTAATAAATTCTTAGAATATAATATCCATGTAAAAAGCCTTTGCCATTATTTAGAATTAGAAATAATTATAATTTCTTTTTTCCTTAATCATTTTCTTAATTTCTTAATATTATGATTAGTCCAATCTCTCACATATGTTAGAATTTAAATTTTGAAAATCTTATTCGTAATTTCTTTCCTAATTAACTAATAGTCGAATTTTTAAAATTATAATTGAAATCATTACTTATCAAGTGACTTCAAAAAAAAAAAAATGTTCGTTATTGATATTATAAAATAAAGTTGAAAAATCTGATTGACAGGAATATCCGATTTAAAAAACCTTTTCAACCAATTTTTGTAGAACAAACATTAAATTTTCTAATAATGAAAAAAAAAAAAAATGTTCGTTATCATGAATTTTGTTTTATTTCGATAAAAAGCAAAAATAAGGTCATATTAAAGACTTACATGAAGGTTTTGTTTGTAATAAGGCAACAATTGTATTCTTTTCAGACCAAGTGAGTAATTTATGTTGCAAAATCATTCGACAAGCAGCATTCCAGTCTTGCTGGCTAGCTACAGAAATAGCTTCCCTGACAGCAAGCGCGACAAGTCGAGCGCGATTTATCTCGTTGCCCGTTACTTCACACTCTATATTTTCTTGTAACGGTAAGGTATTTTGACTTGAAGACGACATCACAAAAGTTGACTAATATGCAAATAAAATGACTCGGTCAATAGAGGTTTTTTTTTTTTTAAAAAAAAAAAGCTAATCGGGGATTTGAAATAATCATGAAAGAGGAAAAAGAAAGGAGAAAGGAGAAATAATAATAATTATAATAATAATAATAATAAAGCCGACTTTGGCAACTTACGTTCATGTTTCGCGAAAATAAAGAAAAAAATGGAGAAAAATAATGGAGGTGAGAGAAATTAAGGATGATAGATTGACTTATATTATTAAAGGAATGAAAAGCCAAAACCGATTAGGAGATGATTTGTCTGCAATCAGTCAAGATGGAAAAAATAATTTCTCTAAATATCAACGTGATCCCATTTTTAAGAAAATCTCCATTCACATGCTGCGGAAACTTTATTAACAAGATGGATCTAGACCTTGAAGTTCATGCATGATTGTTTTATATAAAGGTATTTTGTTTTAAAATACTTATTTATTTGTTTATTGTAACATGAATTTTTTTTACGTGAGGAATATCCCGCAGTTGTAATGTCATTAATGATTGCGCCAAGTAAACGATCTACGCGATTCTAGACCGGCAATATTTGACCTAACTTTAGAAGTAAAAGTTAAAAATAATTAAACCGAATTTGGATAATATAAATAAGTTTTTATAATATAAAAGGAACAGTTTCACCAAGTTTTATATTGTTGGGTCTTGGATTAATTATATATACATTTTCAAGTTCGCGAATTCCTTCATTACTATATTTAATATTAAAAATTAACCCGGCATCAATTATGAAATAGATTTCAACTAACTATTTGATCTGTTATCGTAAGAACAGCCTTAATTAATAATTAACCATACACGGGAAATGTTTCATTTAAGATATCTGATTCGGATAATTTTTTAATAACCTTTTTAACATTGGTTGAGACAAAAATTTAAAATCTTTATGATATTCGTGCCTCCTTTAGTGATTTGAATGAATTTACTGCTTATAGTTAAATTATAATTTTTTTTTTTCCCCTCGGTCTAGATTGTTAAAAAGTTCCAATTATTTTTGAAATAAAATGAAAAAAGTAACATTGCATTGATTATCGATTTCGGTAGATCGTATTATTGTATGATCTACCTCTTTGGAAAGTTTATCGGTTTTTTTGTTTTATACCTTTTATCTACTAACCTTATCAGTTATATTAGAAATTTAAAGTTTACCAATGTGCTTTCCGAGATGTAATTAATCCATTTGCGTATTATGCGTGACATATAAGCTCAAAGCTTCACACCTAATTTTGGCAAATCAAAAGGCAAGACGGATAGCACGAATAATGTAATAAAATTTAGTTTGTACTAACATGAACTGTTAATTACATTTGCAGGTTTCATATCTCAAATGAGCGTACAAGCTTCCATAATTACATAATAGAACATGAACAAACATAAAAAAAAATTAATTGTTATTTTTTATTTTTTATTTTTTTATTATTTTTTATCATAAAAATAAGTTATCTTAAAATAATATGCAAAAGTCTTATGATTGATTGTTACATGATACGAAATTAGTGTCATGGTGGATTTCCGTTTAAGTTCTTATCATTCAAAGGACTTTAATAGTAATGTATTGACTAATAGGAAGGTATTCAAGGCGAAATTGGCAAAAGACGCGAAATCACCTTATCAGCTAATCAAGTGAACCAACCAATTTGAACGAGGTTTCACAACTTTATAGTGGAACTAAAAAGTATTTCAAATTAATTTTGATCCTGTAAGATTATATCATCTTGCCTCAATGGGTTGTTTATAAATTATTCAAAATTGCTTACATGTTTACATGTCAAATTTTTATTGAAGAACCTTTGTTTAAAAAAATAAATTGCAGAATCACGTGCTGAATCAGAATATAATCTGGATTTACAAAGATAAGGAATTTCGAATGTTTTAAATTATTATTGTATTTTTCTTGGTTTTAGATTATTTCTTGGTATAAATAAAAATATTTCTCATTCTATTATTAATTATAATGAAAAAAAATAATCTGTAAAAGCATGAGAAAAAAATTTCATTCTTATTCAGTATACCTGTATGTGTGCAGTTGGTTAGCATGGAATTTCCAATTATTCCAGGTCCAACCTTCAATGCATATAGGTATTTATATAATGCATATACTGATAATTTTTTGGAATCTTTGAAAAGATTGGAAGTGGAAGGATTAGAAGATACATTTCCAATAAGTGTATTCCGTTGTGCAATACATCACTCGACCTCGTTTTATATGGAAACTAACTCTATTAGAAAGTTTCACTAGTAAATCGACATATCTCAAAATTGATACTCACGTGTTCCAACGTTTTCTCCTAATGCAGCCACTTGGAGACTTTCTCATGAAAACTTGAACGATAAATGATCCGAAATCAAAGTTATTGAATTTTGTACTCAATTTCCTTTGATAAAAACCGGGTACCAATTAGAAACTTGTGCAAAAATGTCCATTTATACTGTTCCGTAAATATTTTAAACTGAACCAATAGTTTATGTCCAATCAAATTAAAACGAAAAATTGGGTTTTTAAATCACGTGAAAAATGGTTTTCCCCAGAGGCCAGAAATGATATCATTTTAATTTTCTGGTTTCATCCTTCCTTATCATTAATTCCATTTTAGGAAATCGATAATTCACGTGGTTTTCTCGCGAGATGGCCCGCATTATTTATTAATATCATTTGAAAAGTTTATGATTAAAAGTTTAAGCGGTGTTCGAAAAGTTAATGTTTATTAGTTTGAGCAGAGTAAAAAAGTTTATCACATCGGTATTATGTATACACCGGTGGAATTTCTTATCACGTACTCCACTGGTTTATCATTGTGTAATTATAAGAAGAAAATTTATTTTAAAAACTTGCTTATATAAATATCAATTTATTAACATAAATTTTTTAACTATGAATATGTGTCTTTAAAATTCTGAATTCTGATTATTCACTCGGAATTTAGTGTTGAAACGTTAAATCTTATGGTTTATTAATTTAAAAAAATATAACTATAATGTAAAAATAATTTATATACGCATTAAATATCTTGTATTTCTTTATTGTAAATATAGGAAACATAATTGGCTTCTTGTTTTCTTCATTCCGCTTGGAATTCTTGCACAATATCCATCTGCTTTTAGTTTTATTATAATGTAAATTGCTTCTTCTACAAGACAATGTGATAAAAATTAATTTTGTAAGATAGCAATAAAGGCATGAAGTAGCATGAAAGAAAGGAATAATAATTTCCACCGGTGTATACGTCATATATAATGAGATAAGCTTGTTATATTAATTGTTCAAAAATATTAAAATTGTTCTAATTTTTAAAATCATTGATTTTAAACGTAAAATGGTCTTGTTCCCAAAGTTTTGCCATTATATTTTGTTGTCACGAATTTTTAGCTCAATTTTGTAATATTTTTTTCTGCTTTTGTGAATCATCATTTATTATAGTAAAAGATACACTTTCTTTTTATACAATTATCTTCTATAGCATCTTGTTTTAAATCCTTACTTCTGTACTTTTCAGATAAAAAATCTTCGTATGTTGCTTTAAAAGGTTTTGAACAGAAAATATTTGAAGCATTTTTGACATTTAAGATTACTATACAATTTCAAGGTAATACTAGGACAGTGTTTGTCATAACCTGGTAATATTCTAAAGAATGGATCAAATTTAGGAAATGATCATTACGAATTTGTACAATAGTGGTAAAAAACCATTGTTTTAGATAAAAGGTCACAAATTTCATGTGCACATGATTCTCTATAGCAAATTTCAATCTTTGCATTTTCTTAAATCAAGTGAATTTTTGCAAATTTGAGTATACTGATCGATCCATTTTCAAGACTCCTCTTTTATATCTAAAAATCCGTTTGATTGTAATTTTCAATATATGTAGTAATTACAGAATGCCATTAATATTGTTCCGTCTCTAAAATTCACAAAGTTTTTCAACCACATGCTTAAAGTTCCAACATGCAAGATTTTTATCTTTAACAGTAATTTTCCCATCAACACTTCTAATATGTTTGTCAAATGCAAATGCATCCAATTCAATGCCTGCAAATTTACTAGAAAACGCTGTTATGCTTCTTTTTACTGAATTATAAGCTAATCATCAGCTTCTCCTATTATTAAAAATGATATAAATATATTTGGAGATAATAATAGAACTGATGGTTTGAATTCTGATCAGTAGAACAAATTAATTGAAAATTGAATTGAAATAGTTGATGTAAAAGATAATTATGAAATAATTACAGAAAACAATAAATAATAACTTGACTAAATGAAAATTACTTGATTTATTTAATGAATCATTGGAAGAATCAGTTTATATTGGTTCAATGGTAAATTTGAATTGAAAATTTCAATTTTAAGTATATATATTTTGTATAGAATTATTTTAGTAATAAATTTACTTAGTTTTTACATAAAATTATAAATTTAATTTTACCAGTATTAAAAATCACATGATATATTCTAAATAATAATATATTGTATGTCATTTACTTTCTAAAATGATACAATAATATGTGACATATCATCAATATCATTTATGTCATTTCATTTTATTTGACAAGTTGAATCCAGTTTATATGCAAACTGGTTTTAAAACTGAAAATCAGTTTAATTCAAATTTATAGAAAATTGTTTAAATTGTATTCAAAATTGGATTGATACATTTAGTTCTAATCTCTAATTTAACATATCCAATTCTCAAAGAAAAGGTCAAATAATATATTAAAATGTCTTTACTTATTAAAGAGTTAATAGCAATGTCTTTATATTTAAATTTCAGAAAATATAAAAGAAAAGAATATTAATTTTAAGTAAAAATTAATTATTAAAATAAAGAATAAGAATAATAAATTTATTAATTCTAATATTATCTTTATAACTTAATATTACAGATTGCTTTTCACTTATCTGTCTGATCTTTTGATCCTTTGATAATTTTTTTGTTAATAGATTAA